GGGGATCAGGGTTGGAGAGTTGGCACATCACAGCAAAGGCACTTGCCTTGCACACGGCTGGCCTGGGTTCAGTCCCTGGCATCCGTATGGTTGGTCCCCTGAGCACCGCTGTGAGTGTTTCCTGAGTGCAGAGCCAGGAGCAATCCCTGAGCATCACTGGGTGTGGCCCCAAAACCAATAAAATAGAATAAAAGGACCAGGGACAGGACGGACCCCTGGGGTGGAGAATTGTACATGTAAGCCTTGTACATATAAGCCCCTGGGTTTGATCTAACAAACACAAACCAAATCAGGCTATTACAGAAACTTGTGTTCAGTCCCTGATGCCACATGGTCCCCAATCACTGCTGGGAGCAACCCTGAGCACTAATGAGGGAGTACTACTCTGAGCACTGCTAGGTATGGGCCTGAAACAAACAAAAAGGTCAAATAAACGTCAGACCTAGAAGCCAGGGAGCTAGGGAGCACAGGGGCCAGGTAAAACCTTGTGACCCCTGTGCCTCGCACCAAGCTGGATGGAAAAAAGTTTTGTTGTAAATTAATTGCTTGAAGAAATCTATTAATGATTGAAGTCTAATTACCTTTAAGCTGCAATCTGATTGCATTGGGTTACACCTCTATAATCACTGTCACTGTCATCCCGTTGATCGTCGAATTTCTCGAGCGGGCGCCAGAAGCGTCTTTATTTCTCCCAGCCCTGAGATTTTAGCAGTCTCTTCTTACTCGTCTATTCCCAATGGTTGGAGGCTCTTTCAGGGTCATTGGGAAAAGACAAGTAATATTACACCTCTATAATATTACTAACAAAGGACTAATTTTGGTTTTACAACGTATACCATTTGGCTCCTATTTTAACCCCAGGAGGCATGTGGGAGAGGTAATTATTAGCCCTAATGGATCCAGGCCACAAAGTTTGTTAGAAGGAGACTCCAGGAAAAAGTACAATTTCCACTTGGGGGAGACTGAACGTCCAGAAAATGTGGGGCAGCTCCAAAGCTGTTTAGCGTATCTTCATTTTTACATTTAGGACTTTTAGGCTTTTAGTTTCTGTGGTGGGGGGGGAGCAGTGCTCGGGAGTCCGGGAGCCACCCCGCACAACACCCGACCCGCCAGGTTCAAGTCAAGGCCTGGGGTTTACTGAGCTGCTGTGATGTCAGGGGCCACCCAGGAGAGCTCAGGGTGTCAGGATTTGAACCCAGGCCTCCCACATACAAGGCATGCGCCCCAGTCCATTGAGTCATCTCTTCATTCTTTCCACATTTGTCCATGCCTCTTAAAGGAAAACAAAGTTATCCATAAACTTACAGAATAAACTAAAATTTTGTCCTTTAAAAAGTTAGGGTTAAAATCGGTCGGTCAGTCCTCCTGTTGTTCATCGATTTGCTCGAGCGGGCCCAGTAACATCTCCATCGTGAGACTTGTTGTTACTGTGTATGGCATATCGAATACGTCACGGGGAGCTTGCCAGGCTCTGCCGTGCGGGCGAGATACTCTCGGTAGCTTGCCGGGCTCTCCGAGAGGGGCGGAGGAATCGAACTCGGGTTGGCCATGTTGGCTTCTTCTTATAAACAATTGAATGAGATCTTTAAAGAAAAACTTAAGCCTCAATAAAACATCACATTTATATACAAATATTTCTGTACTGTCACTATCTGTGTGACACTGTTCCTCCCATTGTTCATCAATTTGCTGGAGCGGGCCCAATAACGTCTCCACTGTGAGACTCTGTTGTTACTGTTTGGCATATCGAACACGTCATGGGGAGCTTGCCAGGCTCTGCCGTGCAGGCGAGATACTCTCGGTAACTTGCCGGGCTCTCCTAGAGGGGCAGAAGAATCGAACCCGGCTCGGCCGGATGGCTGCATGCAAGGCAAATGCCCTACGGTTGTGCTGTATTTATGTACATATATATATATATATATATACAATTTTTTGGTTTTGGGTCACATATGGTGGTGCTCAGGGGCTACTCCAGAATTTGTGCTCAGGGTTTGCTCCTTGCGATGCTTGGGGGACCACAAGGGGTGCTGGGGACAGAGCTGAAGTTGACCACGTGCATGGCAAGTGGCAAGTGCTTTACCTTGCACTATCTCTTCAGCGCTACATAAATATTTTGCAACGAGTTACCCAATATTGGGTTTTTTTTTTTTTTTTTTTGCTTTTTGGGTCACACCCAGCGATACACAGGGGTTACTCCTGGCTCTTCACTCAAGAATTACTCCTAGCAGTCCTTGGGAGACCATGTGGGATGCTGGGAATCGAACCTGGGTCAGCCGCGTGCAAGGCAAATGCCCTATCCACTGTGCTATCGCTCCAGCCCCCCAATATTGGTTCTTATTGATAAAAAGTTCATACTGTAAAGAGTGGGCCAGACACACATATACCATATAAATAAATGCTAAAATTTTAAGCACTTTTTTCCTTTTTTTGTGTGTGTATGTGTTTTTGGGTCACACCCGGCAATGTGCAGGGGTTACTCCTAGCTCTGCACTCAGGAATTACTCCTGGCGGTGCTTGGGGGACCATATGGGATGCTGGGAATCGAACCCGGGTCAGTCGCAGTTCTGCACTCAGGAATTACTCCTGGCGGTGCTTGGGGGACCATATGGGATGCTGGGAATCGAACCCGGGTCGGTCGCATGCAAGGCGAATGCCCTACTGGTGCTATTGTTCCAGCCCCAATTTTAAGCACTTTCTATGTATCACTTTTCACCCAGGCAAAGTACTGTTAAGTATAATTGCATTCAGCTGTTTCAATGGCAAAATCTGGAAATCAGCACTATTATCATCATTCATTTTATATGAGGAAATATTAAGTCCTGTTACAAACTACTGTAAATTCTCAAGACATTAACTCTGAATTTTAATTACTTTCCAAGTCAAAACAAAAAAATACCACTTGAGATATGCCATCATAAACTGAGATGGAATGGGAAAATAAAAAGGGTATTAGTTTCACAACAGTGTGAATAGTCTCTAAACTAATGAACAGTATGCCAAAAAAAGAATGGCTAAGATGTTACATTTAGGGGCAGGAGTGATAGTACAGCGGGTAGTGCTCTTGCCTTGCACACAGTCAACCTGGGTTTGATCCTTGGCATTTCACATGGTCTCCTGAGCACCACCAGGAATGATCCTTGAGTACTGAGCCAGGAGCAACCCCTGAGTTCAGCGGGGTGTGGCCCAAAACCAAACCAAAAAAGAGCACAGGTGGGGCTGAGGAGATGGATCAAAAGCTAGAGTGCTCACTTTATATGGGTGGGAGGCCTGGGTCGATGCCCACCACATGGTTACTGCTGGGAGTGGCCTTCAAGCACTGTGACAGGAAAAGTCCCCGAGCTCCACCGGATAGGGCCCCAAACAAAAAGAAAATTAGCTTTGCTAGAAAAAAGTATTGAAAATATTCTCTAGGGAACCAGGGAGCTTGGAGAGGGGGTAAGGCTCTTGCTTTGCGTGCAACTAACCTAGGTTAGATCCCCAGGACCTCGTATGGTCCCCTGAACCCGACCAGGAATAATCCCTGAGTGCAGATCCAGGAGTAAGCCCCAAGTGCTGCAGGGTGTGGCCCCTCAAGCATTATTTAGGGGCCAGAGATAGTACACGGGTTAAGGTGCTTGCTCTGCGTGCAGCCCACTCTAGTGTGGTCCTTGGCACTGCACGTATCCCCAGGCCTGAGCAACGCAAGGAATAATCCCTGAGCACAGAGCCAGGAGCAACCCCTGAGCACTGCTGGGTGTGGCCCCAGAAACCAAAAAGAAAAAAAAATTCTTTAGGGGCTGTGGAGACATGTCAAAGTCTGGAGTGCCTGCTCTTGTATGAGGGAGCTCAGGTTGATCCCCAGCACTGCCTGCCCCCTAAGTACTAGAGGGACAAGTTGGGAATAGTACCCCAGCACTGAGCAGTGTGTTCCCAAAACAGGCAAAAAAATTAATGAAAATAAAAATAATTTAATGACAGTATTACAATAGCCCTGCTGAAGAACGTTTAGTAGTCTTCTTATTATTAAGGCCTGCATATTTTCTGTAGGTTATCTATAGGTGTTCTATAGAAGCAAGTCATCTTAACATATATACAAATACACACACACACACATACACACACATATATATGTGGCTCCTTTGAATTTCTACCTTTAAACATAAAAATTCCAAATTCCCTATAATAATGTAGTCTTTATAAACAAGAAACATTCAAGGTTACTCCTGGCTCTGTACTTAGAATCACTCCTGGCAGTACATGGGGGACCATATGGGATGGCATGAATTGAACCTTGGTGGGTCTCATGTAAGGCAAACGCCCTCTTGGCTGTGCTATCTCTCCGACCTCCACCAGGAAACATCTTAAGGTTGTGACTGATAAAATCTAAGGGTTGGACATTGCATCTGAGAATTTACTCAAACATACCAACTTACTTCCTTCAACCTTATTTCATGTTGCCTGTTAGGAAAGGTTAGTCTGTGAATATGCATTTTTTTTTAAAGTAAGAAAAGGTGGGCTATTGAAGTAAGGTCTACAAAAGTCTTTGGTTACTATACATCCAAAGACAAGAAAAGTGGAATATTCTGGAACCCTAAAAAAATCAAGAGAAATTGGTAGAAACACAAGGGGTCATGCAAAGATTCTTCATCACAAAAAGCCATCACTGAAAGCTATTACTGAATTCAGTCTTGAATGGGAGAGTCATTTTAAGGGATAATACAATCCAACATAAATCTTTTTTTTTCTTTTTGGGTCACACCCAGCGATGCACAGGGGTTACTCCTGGCTCTGCACTAAGGAATTACTCCTGGTGATTCTTGGGGGACCAGATGGGATGCTGGAAATGGAACCCAGGTTGGCCGTGTGCAAGGCAAATGCCCTACTTGCTGTACTATCGCTCCAGGCCCAACGTCAATCTTAAATTATACACAAATGACTACGCTACTATATTCAGGAGGTTAAAAACATTTAAAAAAATGTTCTGTGAACGACACTGCCACCAATGAATTTGCTAGTCTTACCTCCGAGGCCGCGTGCGTGGAGACATCATTTCATTTCCGAGGATGTGGTATCGCCGTGCCTCGTGCAACAGCTGATAGCACTCGGGAGAGTTCTGGATCAATTGGTCCACCTCAACGGTCTGCACAAAGTAGTTGGGATGCAGCAGAGGGAGCCTGACATGCGTCAGCAGCTCGTGCAGCAGCGGCCGCCTCAGGTCCACGGCGCGGTAGACCCAGCGCATCACGGCCTCGAAGACCATCTCCTCTTTGCCGATCACCAGTTCGTCGCTGCAGATGTAATCGATGAGCTCGTCCTTGTCGAGCTCCAGGAACTCCTCGTGCTGGGACACATCCTCGAAAGTCTGCAAGGCGAACGTCTTGCACTTGGTGAAGAGGGTCTTGAGTGAGTGGGTGTCTGCGAAGCGCTGGATCCCCAAGCAATTGCACGGGTCGAGCTGCTCCTCCAGGAACTTGGCACATGCGTCCCGGAGAACACTGATCTGGAAGAGGCTCGACGTCTCAAAGAGATACTGGACGTTCTCAGTCGTGATCTTCACCTTGCCTGTGTAGACGTACTGTAAGAAACACTCCATGGCCTCGGCCAAGATACCGTTGATCTCCACCAGCATCTCTCGGCTTTCCCGGTGGTCGTTACAGAACATCGCTCTGAAGTAGCTGCTACAGGCCGAGAGAACGGCACGGTGGCATGGAAATTCTTTCCCTTCCACGCAAATGATGACATCTGTGAAGAGGCGGCTATCTCGGAATTCATTAAAGATCTGCAGAATGTTTTCGGCGTGGGATGATCCTGAGGAGAAGTCAAAAAACTCATGACCTGTCAGAGATTTCGGGTCCATTTCAAACACTTTGCGCTTAGTTGCTGGGGAATCACGCACCCCAAGATCCTCTCTGTTTAGTCTTCGTCCCAATATTAGTACCATTGTTACATCGGGTGGCTATATGATTGTTGAGAAATGATGGGGATCTTCTTTATGAGGCTAAAGTTAAAAAGAAATCAATATGTGAAAAATTCAGTATGCAAAGTATAGGCTTTAGTCATACCTGTAACTCTACAACGAAACAGAATGAGACATTTTATGAAGGACGGAGAAGGTTAACGTTAATAAAAATGGGTAAGAATCTGCATGATTAGAATATTTGGGGAACTCCCCTCAGCCCCACCCCTAGCTGCAAAGCTACCCTGTGCTCTGTGAATTATAGAGACCCTCTGCACAGCTGGATTTCCTCCACGGACACTAAAGACAGAATGCCGGGAGTCAGGATCGATATACAACGGATACCCCGCAGCCATGAGGAAAGATGAAATCATGCAGTTTGCTGCAACCTGGAGGGAACTGAGGGGCATCATATTAAGCCAAGTAAGTCAGAGGGAGGAGGAAAAGTTACTGGCTATTCTCACTGAGCTGTGGGATACAAAGTGACAAGACAAAGGGATCAGAAAGTATCAAATGGCGGCAAACTCTTGACCCTGGATTATAGAAATGAGAATGCCAAGGAAGGAGAAATGTGGCGATGAGGTGGTGAGCGATGAGGAGGGGACTGGCAATAGCATAAAGACATTGGGCATGAAAATTCTAGCACTGCAGCCGTAAGGAAATACGTATATCAAAACCAAAGGAGCCTAGAATAACTAGGTGTCCCAAACTACATGTAAATTTACTTTGTTTTGGTTTTTTGATGTTTGGGCCACATCCAGCCATGCTCAGGGGGTTACTCCTGGCTCTGTACTCAGGAATTATTCCTGGTGGTGCTCAGGGAACCATATGGGTTTCTGGGGATTGAACCAACATCAGCTGTGTGCAAAGCAAGCGCCCTAACCACTATACTATCCCTTCAGTGCCCACATAATAAGTAAATTTAAATAAAAAAGGAGTTTGATGAGGAGAGACAGTTGCCACTAGCGGTAGGTTTACAGTTAGAACACTGCCTGACTCGGGATGAGCCTCATCCACGAGTGAATCTGTTGAAATCTCCAGGTTTTGTGATCAAAATCTCCAGGCTCTCATGGAGTTGGGAATGAGGGACTTCCTCTATCTCCCCGTTCTTCTGGGAGCCTGGCGGTCATGCCAAAGAATTGCCTCTGGTGCCATATATAAGCTCATTAATGGCCATGATCCAGAAACTCACAAATAAATCTTGGAAGAGATCAACAAGCTGCAGAGATGGCTCTGGATCCCAAAGTCACCAACCAATTAAAAATTTAACTCCAGTTGTATCACCCCTATTTAAAATTTTAGAATTCCTGCAGTGGTCGTGTGACATTTCATAATCTACAACAGTGATATACCACGAGTAGTATACCACATTGGATGGAGTGTATAGTAGAAGGAAACTGATCTCAATCAATCAATCTATATATACATATATATATATATACACACATATATATACGTATATATAGTAGCACAGAATGCTCAACATGTAACAACATCTTAGTAATCTCTTATACAAAGGTTTAGTGACTCCAGGGTAAAATGCAACAATCTTCACACACTTTCTTCTAGGGAAACTTTTTTGATCATTTTTATCAAGTTATTCATAACAAGCAACACAAAATAAATTAGTTAGGGACTGCTATTGGGGTAGGCATGATTGGTTATTAGGAAAATTTGAAATAATGGTGGTGAGAAGGTGTAATGGTGGTGGGATTGGTGTTGGAATATTGAATATAATAAATTATTGTGAACAACTTTATAAAAATAAAATTAAAAAAAAGAACACTACCTTAAACTCTGTAATCAATGGCATTGTAAACCAACGTCCCAAATTAAAAAAAAAATAGTTGTAAGACAAAGAATTTAACTACATTTAAAATTCTTATATAAGTGGTTATTATCATAAGATGGTGTTTCTAGAGAGAAATTCAGCTCCGTCAGTAGTATTGAAAGATATTTATTGTTTTAAGGATATTTGGAGTCCCTGTCTGCAACCTATCCCAAGGGCATAACACAGATAAGGGGAAAAGGTTTATGGACAGAGATGCTCAATGCTGTAAACAGAAAACAGTTCCAAGTGTGCAGCCCCCACAGCTGGCAACTGCAGGGAGGGGAAAAATAAAAACAAAACTTTTTAACATTAGTATCACTGTATCACTGTCTTCCCATTGTTTATCTATTTGCTGAAGCAGGCGCCAGTAATGTTTCCATTTGTCCCTGACACGTGCAAGTGTAGCCCAAGGGCATATTGGGGGCTCTTTCAGAGTCAGGGGGATGAGGGCCATCATTGTGACTGTTTTCAGCATATCGAATATGCCACGGGGAGCTTGCCAGGCTCTGCCATGCGGGTGGGATACTCTTAATAGCTTGCTAGGCTCTCCGAGAGGGATGAAGGCGTTTGGGGCAGCCTCTAATCACCTTTACAGGTATTCCCAGTCAGGCATATATGCGGGAAGGATACTTTCGGTAGCCTGCTCGGTTCTCTGAGAATGAAAACTAGACAATAAAAGGTCGCATTTAACATTAGTAGACAATTTAATGATCTACCGAGAGTATTCGATATGCCAGACACAGTAACAACAAAGTCTCCAATGGAGACGTTACTGGGCCCGCTTGAGCAAATCGATGATCAACGGGAGGGCCTTTACTTTACTTACTTTACTATAGATGTCATGAACCAGATAGTAAGTGAAAAATCAGATCACGAAGAACATACTGATGGGCATTTTGTTTATTCATTTATGTGGTTTTTTTTCTGCCACATCCAGCAGTTCTTGGAGACTACTCCTGATTCAGTGCTCAGGGCTGCTCCTGTTGCTCCTGTTGTGGTGCCAGGGACTGAGCCAGGTAAGCTGTGTGCAAGGCAAGGAACTAACCCTGTACTCTCTCCAACTGTAAAACAGTTCAAACATCTTTAGCCTATGATTCAGGTAACATGATCGCAAGAGTGCGAGTTTATGGTACTAATGTACAAAGTTACTGCACCCAAGTGACCATGACCCTCCACCACTGTCCTTTTATCACCTCTGGTCAGACGTCATCTTCCTGCCTTCCATATCATTAATTGGTTTTGTAATCTGAGAATCAGGGTTTGTCATTGTCCAATTCCGTCTATTCCTTTGTTTTGGAGAGTAGATATTTTACATGTGAGATCTTTTATAGGCAGAAAAAAGGGAAGTCAGAACATCAATATGTTTTTTTCTCTATTTGCCTCAAAATGTTCACTGTAAGTATGTCATAATTTGATTTTATAGCTTTTAAACACATATTATCTAAGTCCTGCTATCTTCTGCCAGTAAGAAAAGTTCTCAAAACATTCCTCAGAAATAGCTATGAATAAGGAACAGACAGAAACACTTGTTGAAAGACAACAGTCTTGAAATTTAATTTTTTTTTCCTGTTTGGGTCACACCCAGCAGTGTTCAGGGGTTATTCCTAGCTCTGCATCCAGGAATTACTTCTGGCAGTGCTCGGGGGACCATATGGGATGCTGGGAATCGAACCCGGGTCGGCCACGTGCAAGGCAAATGCCCTACCGCTGTGCTATCACTCCAGCCCCTGGAATTAGTTTTTAAGGGGATTCTTTGACTCCTACTCTCATTTCACATTTCCCTAACTTGATATGTGATCCAAATGTATTTGAAATTGGGGCTAAGAACTCAGAGAAACTATTTCCACACCCTCAAAATCTCACACATAGTCCATTTCTCACGTTCTCAGATTCTCCTTAGAATATTTCCACAGTCACACATTTTGGCCTAACTCCAGCAACAAAAGAAAGTTTAAGAAGGGGCAGAGCAATAGTTCAGCGGGTAGGGAGTTTGCTTTGCACATGGTGGATGCAGGTTCCATCCTGGCATTCCAAATGGTCACAAGTAACCCCTGAGCATTGCTGGGAAAAGGCCCCAAAAGAAAACACATAAATAAAAAGAGAAAGCTTAAGAACTCCAGAAACAAAAACAAAAGCAAGACAATACAGTATGCCATCACCAGCCATGAATGAAATTGAGACTTGAGAGTTAGTCCTCTTAATTTAAGATTCTATTTTATATATTCTCTTACATATTAGTCACCCCATTTTATTATTTTTTTTGTTTTTTGTTTTTGGAGGGACACCACATCTGGTGGTGCTCATGGCTTACTCCTTGCCTTGCACTCAGAGATAAGTCTTGGTGGGCTAGGGAGACCATATCGGGTGCTGGGGATTGAACCCAGGTTGGCCGCATGCAAGGCAAGCATCCTATTTGCTATACTGTACATCTGATTCCAAATCACCCTATTTTTATTTTATTTTATTTTTATTTTTTGGGTCACACCCGGTGATGCTTAGGAGTTACTCCTGGCTCTTCACTCAGAAATTACTCCTAGCGGTGCTCGGGAGACCATATGGGATGCTGGAAATCAAACTTGGGTCAGCCATGTGCAAGGCAAATGCCCTACCCGCTGTACTATCGCTCCAGCCCCAAAATCATCCTATTTTTAGGCAAACACCCTACCCACTATGCTATCGCTCCAGCCCAGTCATCCTATTTTTAAAGGTTTTTATTTTGTGTGTGTGTGTGATATAATTAGCAAAAAAAAAAAATCCTCAATCACCCTATATTCAAATATTCACTAGGCATTTCCACCTATTGTCAGCTTCCTCCATGAATTCACTTGACTTTCTCACTCCATCATTTTCAGCAGCAGCATATAGTTACTGCTAGTTCACCACTGTCTGGATATTCACTAAGCCTGCATTTCACAGAGATGTAAGATATTGCTGCTGAGATATTGTTTTGCTTTTGAATATAATTAGGAAAGGTGTATTTGGAAAGATAGTAGAGGGTATAAGCTGTTTGCCTTAACATGGCCAAAACTGGGTCCAATGCCCAGTATCCCATCTGGCCCCTCAGCCCCTGTAGGAGTGATCCCTGAGTGCAGAGTAAGCTCTGAGTTCAGCTGAGTCTGGCCTCGCAAACAAAGGAACAATAAGGCTATTCACTTACAATGCATTGCTTCCAAATTCTAACTCTGATATATGGATAGTAGCCATATACCAT